TGAGGAGAAGTATTATGGATATAACATGAGCTTGTTTTCATAAAATAACGCTAGTGTAATAGTTTTATGAAGAATCTTGATAATGAAGTTTACAAACCGGGGCTTTGATGGTGGTAATAACATTGGGAGACAACTGTATTTGTATTATGCTTGTTGCCATGGGTATTTGAATTTGGATAAAACAGAATATTAAATACTGGGTACATTGTATGGTTACAGAAATGTTTATTATTACAGAATTAAAATGAAATGTGATCTTAACTTATGGAGATGCGTGGTCACGTGGCCCCAACAAACACATAACGTTATTACAACGTGGACCCAACAAACACATAACGTTATTACAACGTGGACCCAACAAACACATAACGTTATTACAACGTGGACCCAACAAACACATAACGTTATTACAACGTGGACCCAACAAACACATAACGTTATTACAACGTGGACCCAACAAACACATAACGTTATTACAACGTGGACCCAACAAACACATAACGTTATTACAACGTGGACCCAACAAACACATAACGTTATTACAACGTGGACCCAACAAACACATAACGTTATTACAACGTTACCATAACGTTAATTTTACAAAAAAAAAAAAAAAAAACGTTATGGCTTCGTTATGGTAGCGTTATAAAACGTTATGTGTTTGCCGGGGATAGCTTGAAATATTTGAATGTACACTGAGCACATTTCAGGGGCTACGGTATTTATGACAGCATCTAGCACCGCGAAATAATATAGTAATAATAATAGGTTTATTAACGCATACCTACCCCCTAGGTGAAGTTGTACATTAAATGTAATTAAAAAATTACATTTAATAAGGGGTGTGCACTATAGACCAAAAAATAAATAAAGCACAAACTTCTAATTCCTTGATAAAAGCTAAGGGATAAAATAAAATAGGCCTATAAACAATAAAGACCAAGATGAGTTCCAAAATAAAACACAAACTACGAAAAGTGTGATAAAGAAAGATATAAAAGCAATTTAAACGTTCTGAATTTTTGACACTTAAATTTGACTGTCTTTGCTTTAGTCGCACAAGTGTCCCACATAGGGTTTTAACATGACAAGAAGATCACAGAGACATTCCCCTGTCACAAAGAGTATTTATCATGGACGTCACATTGTGCCTGGTCGTCTAAATGGGATGCAGCGATTCTTACAGAAGCATACAAGAGGTAAATGTTACAGAGAAGGCAGCTGATGTGTTGGGTTTGGAGAATACTTAAACGTATTTTATGTCTTCTTGATGAAAACAAGTTCAATACAGTGACAAATAGAAAAGGTATTAAAGTGACAAACACAAGTACGATGTTCGAAATTTGGCCGATGACGGCCGCTTTTATTGTGAATCCCTCTAATAAATGAAATGAAGTAATTTTAGAATCTAAAATGGAATAATTGTGACAGTGCCTAATTACGTAACTTTTACGTCTGAAAAAACTTTATTTTATATATAATTCCCAAACAACGTAGTGCAGACGTTCTAATTTGTGGGTTAGACCTGGGAGATACCGCAGGAAACACATAACGTTGTTATAACGCTACCATAGTGTTCTATGTAGTTCTTTGTCGGATTTTTTTCTGTAGAAAATTCAATTCTATGCACATTTCGGTTTTTCAAATTACTGCCTTTATCTGTATCTGAATAAGTGACCACATAGCCAGCTATTTAAGGGGGGGGGGGGTCTTTTTCTGAAAAATTGGACCTTTTACCATTAAACCTTCGTATACCTAGAAAAACCTTTATCCAGAAGGGACATTTTCCCGTAAAAATGGAACGATATTCTTTGTGGCATTCTTTCCTGTTGTGAATGAACCTATGAAAGTTTGAGGCACCGAAATTCTGTCAACCGTCACTAAAAATCAAGTTGCTTTTGATGACGAATCAAGATTTTTGTTCTCCATCGATGGTCAAATAAGAGTCCTTAGACATGTTGCAAAATATCTCTTGCAGGAGTGGGTGCAGGATATTATTGACTGAAGTGCCGGGCCAGTCCGTATTTGGAAAGCATTCCATGCCCATGATTTTGGTACATTGTTCCTTCTGGAACAGAACGTTATTTGGGCATTTAGCATGAAGTGGACACAGAAAATGGCTTCGGGAAATTTCCAAACGCTTACAGTGTACTTCTCATTGGACTCCTACGAATTAATTTGCAACTTATAAAGACGATAGTAATGGTCTAAACATACATGAGTACTGGGTAGGTTGTGCAATAATGACGCCATATTTGCGGTATCATTGCACTCAAACAAACGGGTCTTCAGTGCCCTATGCACAAAATAGCACCAAAGAAGCAAATGTCTCCAGATATTGGCAAAGAAAATGACATGATCGTGCTTAGAAGAGTTCTTTTAACTTTGTCAATGTGTAGTGCATTTATCAGTCTGGATATGCATTAATATGATTATATGCGGGTTTTTTTCAATACCAGAGATTAAATAAAACATTTGTTTAAGACATGGTTTGCTGTATAACTTTACGCATTGCATTAGGAGTGACACACATTTCGGTGCAGGAATACATGATTAGTACGGTGATTTCCATAGAAGTGAAAAAGTGCAATATTATCTATTAAAAAAAAACAAACAACAAACAAATGTAACATAATTTATATGCAATAAGATCCGATTGCAATTAAAAAAGCAGCGTGTCAAGCAGCACTTGTGTCCATCGCACACGGGAATTTATCCCCTGTAGGCTGCAGCAATGTAGTAATCATTATAAACTGATTAAATGCACATAATGTAGAGCTGTACCGGTATATAAGAACAGAACATGACATTTTACTCTACTTATCATTGTGCTGTTTACCGACCTGAGACCCTGGATATGCTGATGCTTTTTAGGGTATCATTTGGATGCCCTGGACTCTCAGTCTGACACCCCAGGGCTATCCAACTGCTACCTGTGGGTCTCAGTTTGGACCCTACTGCTGGATTCCTCTAAAGGCCTCAGGATTTATCCCCTGTTTCCCTTAGTGTATGGTGACATCAAATTATGAGTATATTTATATTTGTTTTTTAACGTGAAAATAAAGCTGTTTAGTTAATATGGCCCTGATTACTATAATATATATTTTTAGATGTCGGTTACTGAGCATTAATTGTTAATAAGCCCTTTTCTTGTTGCTCAGTCATTCTACGCTTATATAATACATGTATAGTGTAATGGCGAGATCGGAAACAATTGCTGCTTGCTTCATAGGACTTTGCGTGAGTCTCGTGTTGCTGTTGGCACGGAGTAGGAATCTCATAGGTAGGTGGCGTGATTAATGAAACATTCTCGAATATAACATTTGTCCAAATTTACTGCCATGATATTGAAGTTGACGATGAAAGAGGTTTAGCCCTTCCTTGTCGTAAAGGGCTTTAAATTCACCTTGAATGGATTAAAAGAAGCACCAGTGAAAGATATGAGAGCCACGCCTTGTAAAAAAATCCAAGAGGATCGTCAGTAGCTTTTGGTGCTGTGAGAATGTTGTAAATATGCAAAATCTACTTGCAATGAAAATAAAAATACATGCGCTGCGGCTGGTAAGTTTTAGATACTTTATAAAGTGCAAAATGCTATGGTTTCTTGAGACCATTAAGAATGCCAACAAATTCGGGGATTCATTCTGTCAGGATTAATTCGTTGCAGCACTTGATTCACTAGTGTAGACTTTTTAACTGTGGCTACACCTAAGAATGGAATTGATACCCACTTTTACTGTGTGGTATACACTCTCCAGCCAAAAGGAACGCAAGACTATAAAAATATGAAAAGAGATTTTATTAATCCCTGTTTTAAGTTGGTAATTAAGTAACGTTTTAATTTCTTAATTATTTGTTTCAATAAATGTCCCTGTTTTAATCTATTTTACGGGCCATTTTATTATTTTTCACGTTTTATTGTAAAGTCTCCTGAAAAATCTGTATTTTAAAACTCAGAAGAAATATAATTATTACTATGATTATTATATCTTAATTATTAATTTGTGATAATACTCTCCTCTAAACCACGCAAAATACCGTTAAGTTTTAAGATTGGCAATTTCTCGGATCATACATATATATACGTTACAAGCGGTTTATACTGGTAATTCCGCCATATTGTGTTTTCCAGATTCTATCACTCCACATTTGAATCCCAGCAGGGAAGTTAAAGAGAGCACTAATTATTTGTCCAGAATTATTCAGCAGGTAACATTTAAATTGATTTTCAATTTTTGACACACACTCAGATACTGTGTTATACATGTATGGGAGCGACTGGAGTAGGTTCTTATATACATGTACTTGGGATAAACGCACGACGAGAAACAGAATGTAATAGTGAACCCTGTTAGTTCTGTTAAAAATGCCATATGTTAGTCTTCATGATGGCGTTTGTCCTGTACTAGTTTTGGCCATAGATGATTGATAATAAAATTGACTTTCTGAATTTAAGGAGGCTCTCTCATATTAGCTTGAACGCATGTACTTTTTTCACGACAGTGACTTATAATCAAAATACACCATGCAATAAAATATGTAAATCATCATTTAATGAAATCGTTGCTGTTATTTTGATCAAAGCTACGAATATGTTAACAGAACGTTGCATTAGCGAAGTTTTATGGGACGCAACTCTTCAAGAGGATTATCACCATTTTTTTCATATACTTTACTATATGTTGAGCTGATTTTGTCTTATAAATTTTCACAAAATCGCTGGTGAAGAATTTTTTTTTTTTTTTTTTGAAATATGAAATATAGGCCTAATTTCTAACGTTCGCTTTTCTTTTTATCTAGCTCTATCTAGCTCTATCTAGATAAAAATCTCTATCTAGCTCTATCTAGATAAAAATCTAGATAAAAACCTATTTGGTCTCTTAAGAGACGGTTAAGCAAAACAAATTATAAACAGATATCGTTCTTCTCTCCTTCAGAAATTTCACTGGGATAGAGTTCCTAGGGAATGGGTGAACACTATAAACCGAAGAAGGCAAATGATGTTTCAGATGTGCAAGGATCTGAATGAACCCATTGAAGAAGAAGTGCCAATCAGTGTATCCAAACAACAAATTCCTGACAGAAACTACGTTGACGACATCTACCGGATAATTCTGTGTCCAATCTCAAAGACAGCCAGCAGATCCTGGCTTAAGATATATTTCAAACTGAATGGACAGATGAACACTTCTGTAGAATACAACCAAATGCCTCGCCAGTATTTCGAACAATACGTACGTAAGCTTAAGACGTACACTGATTTTGGTATCCATGGTCGTGTGAACAGTTACCTAAAAATAATGACAGTCCGCCATCCTCTGGTACGTCTTGTGTCAGCGTACAAGGAACAGGTGGTGCCACCACATGGGCTGTTAAATGGTGCATTGGAGAAATTTAACATGAAAAGAAGACGCACGAGGGACGGTAATAAAACAAACACAGTTACATTTGAAGATTTTCTGCATTTTATCCTCCAACGTCCAAATATCCATTGGAATGACTTCAATACGTTTTGTGCTCCTTGCAAAATGCAGTATGATATCGTTGTGTATTTCGAGACAATGGCAGAGGACCTCAAAAACACTCTCATTCTCCTGGGCGCAGACGACATGATCCAACTCCCGCCTTCACATCGTGCAAATGAAACGTCGTCTGACGATGAAGCACGGCAGTTCTATCAGGGTGTAGACAGGGACCTTTTGAAGCAAGTCATGGCAAAGTATTGGGTAGAAGAAAAGTATTTTGGATATAACATGAGCTTGTTTTCATAAACTAAACAACGCCAGTGCAATAGCTTTATGAAGAATCTTGATAATGAAGTTTACAAACCGGGGCTTTGATAGTGGTAATAACATTGGAAGACACGGGTATTTGTATTTCGCTTGTAGACATGGGAATTTGTATTTGGATAAAACAGAATATAAAATACTGGGTACATTGTATGGTTACAGAAATGTTTATTATTACAGAATTAAAATGAAATGTGATCTTAACTCAGGAGATGCGTGGTCACAAGTACTTGAGACCCATCAAAAACAAACGTCATTATAACGTTACCATAAGGTCAATTTTACCAAAAAAACAAAATGTTATGGCCACGTTATAGTAACGTTATAATACGTTATGTGTTTGCCGGGGATAGCTTGAAATATTTGAATGTCTACTGAAGAAATATCAAGGGCTATGGCTTTTGTGACAACATCCAGCGCCGCGTAATAATAATAAGTAATAATAATAATAGGTTTAATAACGCATACCTGCCACAAGTTGAAGTTGTACATTAAATGTAATTAAATCATTTTTATTAAATATGGGATATACACTAAGACCAAAAATAAATAAAACGTAAACTTCTAAAAGTTTGATAAAAGCTAAGGGGATAAAATAAAATATATACAATAAAGACCAAGATGAGTTAAAAAAACACTAAGTGATAAAGAATGAGTTAAACGTTCTGAATTTTTGACACTAAAATTTGACTGTCTTTGCTTTAGTCGCACAAGTGTCGCACACAGGGTTTTGAGGATGACAAGAAGATCACAGAGACATTCCCCTGTCACAAAGAGTATTTATCATGCAGGGGCGGATTGAGGCAGTCTTCTGGGTCTTCCGGAAGACGGTCAAATTTCTAAGTTTACATTGATGAGTACCTAATGTTTTCTATCGGAAGACGGTCAAAAAAGGGGGGTTGAACAACAATTAAAATGTGGAAGACAGTCAGAAAATATTTCCGGATCCGCCCCTGTCATGGGCGTCACATTGTGCCTGGTCGTCTGAAATGGGATGCAGCAATTCTTACAGAACCATGCAAGAGGTAAATGCTTTAGAGAAGACAGCCCATGCGTTGAGTTTGGAGAATACTTTCACGTTTTATTAGACCTGGGAGAAACTACAGCAAACGCAGGTCGTTATTATAACGCTACCACAGCGTTCTATACAGTTCTTTGTCAGATGGTTTTCTATGGAGATGTCAATTCTTCGCATATTTCGGGGTTTTTTTTTAATTCGGTGCTTTTATCTGTATTTGAATAAGTAAACGTCACAGGGACTGTTTGGCGTGGATGCAACGGACGAGAGAAAATAGTGAGAAAGCTGTTTCTTCACACTTGATTGGAGACAATTTGTCATTAAAATAATGAACGCCATCAGTATTCTGATATAGGAAAACCCAAACAGAGGCATACAACTTGATGTTACTGTCAATATAAGGTCGAAATCGATCAAGAAAGAGTCCCCAGTACACACACACACACACTTTTGCACACACACACACACACCCACACTCACACACACACACACACACACACACACACACACGCACGCACGCACACTTTACTGTATGTCAGCACCAACCAGCAGACAATGCAAAGTGTCAGGAGAGTGTTGGTGAGCACAGCTCAGCAGACGACACAGTCCACTCAAGGTCGAATTAGCCTTATTACCGCCAATTAAAGTCTTCCCATTGGTCCAGCAGAAGGTAAAAATTGTACGCATTCTTCCGCTGCTACGACAACAAATAGTTATGCTTTGAATGACGGCTAACGAAAAATTGGTTATTTTAGCGTGGTAAACGGTCTTCAATATTTATTATTTTAGTCTTTTTTCGCAAGATTTATAAACACAAATTACACTCCCAATTTTGGAAATGGTTTGAAACGATACCGAGGGACACCTTACGGAATATAACATATCTCACGTGACCATTTAAGGCAGTCACACCCACTACACTAAGAACGACACCGAACTACAGAATCTTCCTCCGTTTTCCTAGTTCAGGTAAGTGGCACAATATACACAACGTATATCTTGTATTTATCTTTTATAACATATTCATATTTACAGATGCTACACCATGGTGTTTTGATAAGTACAATTTGGCATAATTATTGTAAATAATAACGCAATAATGAAGAAGACCAACTGTGGTGAAGAACAAATACATGCATGATCGATTCTACCAACTTCCACTTGTTTTACTATTGTCCACGCGATAAAATAATAGTTTCTCTCATCTGTACTTGAACAAGACACCACCATTACTATTATTATTTTATCTACATACTGTTCATGAAGGAAAATTGTGCACTGCTACGATTATGTAGTTATCATGATGTCGGTTAGGGTTTAATATTTTGAGGTCACTCCAAATTATGTAGTTATCGTGATGTCGTTTAGTACTAATATTGTGAGATCTTTCCTAATTTCATATTTATCGTGTTGTTGCTCAGTGGTTAATATTAAGAGATCTTTCCTTACTTCATATTTATCGTGTTGTATTTCAGTAGTTAATATTGTGAAATATTTCCTAATTACATATTTATCGTGTTGTTATTCAGGGGTTAATATTAAGAGGTCAGTCCGAATTATGTAGTTACATGTTCGTCCATATGTAGATTTTCACCAGAACCCGTACATGCTGGTCCATTAGATCCAATAAACATTTCATACTGGTACATTGCACCTGCATTGAATGTGTGTCGTAGAGCACTGATGATATCATGAAACTGAGGCTGTACCTGCAGTCTGTTTGTTTCATATCATTGTGTTTCTAATATGTTTTGTACAGTACAGCATAGCAGTAGTAGGGGCCTCACGATACCCAGGCTACGGTTAGATTTAGTACAGCAGGGGGGGGGGGGGCATTCAGAAAAGCGGACTAACAGATCCGCGGTTCAAATATGGCCACCCACTAAAAAGCTTGTCGCTTAATTCCCATTTAGACACTGAATAGATTCCCTGCAGGGATTATGCGACAAGCATTCAAGTGGGGCGGCCATATTTGATCCGCGGATCTGTTCTGAATGCGCTGTTATGTACCCCCTCAGCATGTAGAACTGAGACAAGAAAGCTGGTTTAGTTTATATCAAAATGGGTCAATATTATACAAATAATGGCTTTGCCTGAGGTCATCTTGGCAGAGGTCAATTATCACAGCTGAGGGTAAATAAATGACCGAAAGGACTGAAACACAGTCTATATCTGTTTTGTTACATGGTCGCAAATTCTGAAGAATTTGAATATGAAATTAATAAAGTATGTTAATGAGTGTTACCAAGAATTATTAAGAAAAATATCAGAAATCACAATAGCTATAGGAGCAAAAAGTTGGCACAAATGAAAATAAAAGGCTATAAATAAAAATATAAAAATTAAAATAATTTAATGAGTATCACCGAGATTAATTAAAAAGAAAATGATAAACAAAAACAACTATTGAAGCAAAAAGTTGGCACAAATGAAAAATAAGGACAACTCAAACATGAAGGCAGGTGGTAGGGGAGGGTGGAGGTTGTAGATAACAATGTTGACCGTCGGGATAGGTAAAAAATTAATTATAATTAATAATAAGTAATAGGTAAATACTTCTATTTCTGTATGTACACATGTGACCTTGATTGTATATGTCTTCTGTAATTGTGCAAATCGTTATGCATTTTAGATCAGAGGCCTATAACTACAACGGATAAACCCATCAATTAAATTTAATAAAAATATACTCAAAAGGGCTCCGACGAGGCTCAATATCCGACCAATGTATACGAGATACAGATAAAATCTATGCACCCGTGTCTTTCCAGGTTGCTGTAGTACGCCATGAAGACTGCCTCCGTTAGCTACATTTTGGCCATAGCCATTATGGCTGCCTGTGTGGAGTTTATTGGTACGTTTTTAGCCAGTACAGGTCTGTCGTCATTCACTCTCAAAATAACAGGATAAGTGAAAGGAACAAAGTAAATGTTAAATGTTTGACCATATGAAAAATTGACGTTGTTTGCTGGTTGATAGAAATCGTAAAACAGTGACACAAACCGAGACAGGGAGGAGATTGACTATATATGGAAACAAAACAAATGGCATTGAGCACGTATTTACTTTGATAATATTTTACTTTTATTAAATGTCCTTCATTCATTTATCAAATAAATGTTGACATGTCGTAAGCCATGTGCTCGGGTTCCAGATTCCTTTTCTTCTTTATTTTCTCTACAGAATGTGATCATCTGGCCACACAGGGGATCCGTGTGTACATCAGCAGCGTGTCAGGCAACCTGGAGATAAAGAAACAACAACAGAAGATACAGATGGTTCTCAGCGGAAAGAAGATCGACGCACAGTACATCGATGTCTCATCAAACGACGCCGCCAAGAAATTCATGAGGGAAAGTGCAGGAGAGAAGAGTATTCCCCCACAGCTTTTTAACGGCGAGGAATACCTTGGTGATTACGCAGCTTTTGAGAAAGCAGTTGAAGACGAACGTCTTATGGATTTCCTAAAGTTGAACTGAATGAAGTTTTAAGACACTCTAAAGACGACAAGACACACGAATATATATGTGCCTATAATATACTTCAATCGCTATTTTGACGAAAACCTAAAACATGTTTGAAAATCAGAAATGTCCGAGCCTGGTGGAGCTGGTATGATTGTACTATAGGGCTATAAACCGGTACATAATGCACAAAAAAATAAATAATAATATAAATGAGGCGTTACTAAACTTACAAACTATAACTCGCCTTTCAAAGCATGATATAAATTCACTGTATTTTGGATTTTTAAAACGAAAACTACTCAGTATTTTTCACTCTTTTTAAACACACATTATTACATGTCGCGCGTGCGCAGTTAACCTGTTTTTACTGGTCGCGTGTGGTGTCGCACGTGTCACGTGGCCTATTTTTGAGGAAAAATGGTCAAATATTTTTACTCCTCGGGATCATAGTTTTTGGGAAAAGATATATAAGAAAACCAATGTGTCGGTAAAGGACA